AGGAACAGCTTTGTATTTTTTTTTTTTTTATGAGATATTTTTGCTATAGGGCACATTTGCTTGCTGGAGTGACAGAGAGACAGAAAGTGAGAAATCACCCCTCAAGGGGTATGGCCACACCACAATCCCTTCTCCTCCATTATCCTCTTGGGATCTTGGGCACACATGCACATGTGCCCGGTGTGAGTTTTAAGCCACTGGGTTCAGGACTTGAACTGTGGTCGACTACATGGGAGTCCAGTAATATAACCCTTATGCCATTGGCTGGTCCCCAAATTTGTATTTTGACAACTGTATTTTATATTATGTTTTATTTTAAGTCTTTTGTATGTGTGTATCATTTTGGTGAGAAATATTTACTTAGTCACTTAAAATTATTTCTGTTATAATAATGTGAGTTATTCCATAATCACATTCAATTTACACTTAACATTTATTTGACATTCTTTCTCATGCTTTATGAGTACTCTCATTAAAAAAGCTCAAAGGAAGACATAACAGGTTTTTATTTTTTTTTTTTTTATGAGATATTTTTGCTATAGGGCACATTTGCTTGCTGGAGTGACAGAGAGACAGAAAGTGAGAAATCACCCCTCAAGGGGTATGGCCACACCACAATCCCTTCTCCTCCATTATCCTCTTGGGATCTTGGGCACACATGCACATGTGCCCGGTGTGAGTTTTAAGCCACTGGGTTCAGGACTTGAACTGTGGTCGACTACATGGGAGTCCAGTAATATAACCCTTATGCCATTGGCTGGTCCCCAAATTTGTATTTTGACAACTGTATTTTATATTATGTTTTATTTTAAGTCTTTTGTATGTGTGTATCATTTTGGTGAGAAATATTTACTTAGTCACTTAAAATTATTTCTGTTATAATAATGTGAGTTATTCCATAATCACATTCAATTTACACTTAACATTTATTTGACATTCTTTCTCATGCTTTATGAGTACTCTCATTAAAAAAGCTCAAAGGAAGACATTATTAGTATATCTTGCTAAAAGTGAAAGCCATTGTAGTGTAGTTAACAATTTACATTGATGTGATAGTGGGGTTTTATGCATAGCAACTATGTCTTGAATTATGTTTTTCAATGTTATTATTTCAAAATACATATTGTCCTTTGGTCTCAATTAACAGGGGGACTAATAAGAAATATATTTATAAAATGAGAAAATAAGTTAGCAATCAGGATTTCACATAAGTAATGCTGTATTTAGGCACTGTAAGACAACAGCATCATGTAATTGTAGGGTGACCAAATGATGACATTTTTTTCATTACAGTGCCTTTCACAGTAACTTATTATAAGTATTTAGATGATTGATAATTATCAATATTGTCATAATATTCTATCACATTCATAAAAAAAACTGAGCATTATCATTTCATCATTTTGTAGTATTTAAAAAATGAAGCTTCTTAAGCATGGGCTGTTTGCTTTAAGTTAGCTTATTAGCAGCATGAGATTAGGGCAGTCTTTATATTACACAGAACTTGGCCAGTGTACTATCCAAAGCCAGCATTAAATGGAATATTGAGAGGATGGATGTAACAAAGGATGAATGAATGAGTACTCACATCCGCATGTGGGCTGATAGCAGCTGTTGCTAGGTGAACAATGTCTTACTGCAGTGGGCAATCATCCTTTCTTTACCTTTCTGGACAGGTATATTAGTTTAATATTGGCTTCTCCTCCTCTCACTCTACTCACTTTTTATACAAATCTCACTGGCTCTTTAACAACATAACAACTATCTCATTATATTTACAATGTACCAGTCACTTAGGGAAGTATTATACGGGTGGCCACCAAAGAATGGGTATCTTGACGGCCATCTTAGAAATCGGCTCACTACAAACAGCAAAATATACCTACTCAAATTGATTTTTCATCACTTTCTTGCTGTCGCCAACATCATTTAAGTGAAGTGCCAATCTCTCACCTACCTGGGCAAATATGCCTTTCTTTGGGAATATACTGATTATTCTTCTAATTTTGTTTTTATCTTTTATTACCTTTCTTCTTACTTCATTTACCTTTAGCCAAACTTTCTTGCAAGGAAGGATTTGCATTTCTTCTTCTTCCTTTAGGGTCTCTTCCTGTTGCTTATCGAAATTCTCCACTTACAGCACTAACCTCTTTTGTTTCCAATACTTGAGATGAAGTTAGTTTCCAGCATCAGATCTGATTATAAGGTGTCTATGTGTCGAAACTGCCTTCCAAATCCAAGTTGTACACTTTAGTTTTGATTGTCTTAAAGGAAAAGCTAGGCATCTGATTATTCCACAACCATTTTCAAAGTCTGTGCATATTATCTGTGCACATACTATTTTCTTATTTCTAAGTGAGTTGAGTAACAGTATTTCTGCTCAAAATGTGAAAATAATATTTTTCATAGACAAATAAGAGCTGGTATATTTTCCTTCATTCTTAATACTTTGTTATACCATTTATATAAAACTCTTGCATACACCCTTTTTTTTCTCTTTTCTAGAAAATGTGAATAAAGTACACTTCCTCTACAAATTACATGTTCTTATGGACAAAACACTTGAGTACAAAAACACTGAAAGATAGGTAGTTTGCATTCCAATAGTAGAACAATTCTTCACTTCTTTATTTGGAGATTGTGTTTGTTTCCTACAAATAACAAATGTCACAAACTGGGTTACTTAAAAGGCAGTCATATTTTCACAATTGCACAGGCTAGAAGTCCAAGAGGAAGGTGTCAGTAGGATCGGTTTTATCTAAATTCTTCTTGCTTTATAGACAGCCATCTTCCTGGCCTTCACTCGATCCCTCTTTAGTATGTGTGCCCTAATTGCCGGTCAGTCATGTTGGATTGGGACCACACTGATACTCTTATATAACATAACTATACCTCAAAAGACCTTGAATCCACACAGTCTCATTCTTAGATCCCAGAAGTTAGTATGTACACATTTGAATTTTGTAGAAACAAAATTCAACCCCAAATATTTATGATATGAACTAACTGCTATTCTATATTGAAAAGTACAAGACAAGAAAGCAGGGTAAGAAAGCAATTACTGGAACCAGCAGTTAGCGTAATGGCTATGTCGCTGGACTCCCACGTAGTCGACTGTGGTTTGTGTCCCGGACCCGGTGGCTTAAAACCCACACCGGGCGCGTGTGCGTGCATGCCCAAGATCCCGAGAGGAGAATGGAGGAGAAGGGGTTGAGGCGTGACCATACCCCCTGGGGGGTGATTTCTCACTTTCTGTCTCTCTGTCTCTGTCTGTCTGGCGAGCGTGCGCGCCCTATGGCAAAAACCTTTCCAAAAAAAAAAGAGAGAGCAATTACCGAGATGAATAGGAGTTGCTATAGGGCCACCTTTTCTTTTCTTTTCTTTCTTTTTTTTTGGGGGGGAGAGTTTTTGCTATAGAGTGCATGCACTCACCAGAAAGAGAGAGACAGAGATACAGAAAGCAAGAAATCACCCTCCAGGGGGGATGACCATGCGGAAATCCCTTCTCCTCCATTCTCCTCTCAGGATCATGGGCACATATGCACACGCGCCTGGTGTGAGTTTAAGCCACCGGGTCCAGGACTCGAACTGCAGTCAATTACATGGGAGTCCAGTGACATAGCCATTATGCTAACTGCTGGTCTCAACAGGGCCTCCATTTTAAAGCCAATACAGAAATACATGTAGCAATATAATAGCAGGTGATTATTTGGTAGGTTGTAAAAGACCATTCTGAGAAACATTGAATATTTTGTTGGATTGGGAGATAAAAAGGAAAAGAAAATTTGTCAGCATTTTATTAGGTTATCAGAAAAGCCATGACACTTTTTTTTTTTTTTTAATAGAAAGATGTAGAAAAATATGTCATGACTTTTCTGGCGACCCAGTATTTGATTTCATAATAACTCTAAGCATCAAGCTACATATGGAGGAAACTCCCATGGAAACTTCTGGGATAATATAAACTCATATATCGCTTTCAGAATAAGTATGGTAACTGACCTGCTATGCAATTCTATCATGGCATGCATTTTTAATGAATTGGATCTTTCAGTTTAAGTACACTCATAAACCTAATAGTTCAACCTCTTTATATCATCTATGCCACTTCCTTTTGAGGAAGCAACATTCTCTTAGAAATTTACAATTTTTATGATTTAGATCTCTACTTTCTAAGGTAAGAAAATAAATTTATAATTAGGGGCAAGCATGAAATAAAATAAACTCTGCTTAAAGCAATAGAAACCATTTTCTGAACAAATATATGGACATACTTTTAGAATATTTCAGAAACATTTAATTTTTTGCTCAACTTTTGACTGTAGTGTGAACGAACCATCACAGCCACATCCAAAAAAGTTACGCTTAAAAAAAAAAAAAAAAAAGTCTGTTCTCCTATCTGCCTTACATGAAGGGTCGTCTTTTTGCCTTACAACAAAAAATCTGTAATTCCTGTAAAAAGTGGTTGACTTCTCTCAACATGATTGTCTAGTAAACAAGAATTTGGTGACGAGTAAAAAGAACCCGGTTATAGTACGTTACTACCTTCGTCACCCCCACATGTTGAATGACTTACTGATTTATTTTCCCCACAGATCCAATGTTTAGCTCCTATTGAGTGTGCAGTAGATCTTAATTATTGGGACTCACTGCAGTCAAATGATTTTGATTATTTAAATTCTACTTCCCCAGATAAAGTTCTCTCTACTCTCTTTCTTCCCTCTTTCTTTCGTTCTTCCTTTCTTTCTTTTCTTTTTCTTTCTCTCTCTCTTTTTTTTTTTTTTTTTTTAACTAGGCTACAGTGAACAAGATTTAGTGTTCTACAATTTGGAATGTAATTTTTACACTTAGACTAATAGACAAATAAGCTTCAAAATGTAGCAGAGTTATACTGAGTCACTTCGTACCTTTTCATATAAGAAAAAGAAACTTTTTTGTGTTTAGGTGTTGCTTCTGGACAACTTTCCAGAGCGTCGAGTCAGTTCTAACTCCTAGAATAATGTGAGTTCTAGTTTTGTGATGTTGACTTTCCATCTTGCTGTGTCAAAGATATTTCGGTTGGGGTGAATGGATACCACCTTTGTTCTTAGAGGTGTGTTGTAGGGACCTTCTTATTACTACACAGGGGAGGTGTTTAAGTGTTCATTTGAAAACACCAGAAGATTTTACAAATTTCAAAGAAATGTAAGAAGCGTCATTACCTTCAAATTCCAAATTTCCTCCACAATGGAAAATACCAGTTTTCTTTTAAAAGATTGTGAACTTACCCCAAATGACCAGATCCACATGTTGAACAACAAAGAATCCTCATTTACTATGAGGAATAGGGTTAAAATATGTTCTCCAGTGACAAATCCCAACCCGGAACAGATTTCAGCCAGGCAGCTAGCAAAGCTCTCGGGTGAACTGCACAGGCCATGGTGGGTGCAGAGCTCAGAGCCGGAAAGCAAACAGCTGCTGTAGCCTGATTTGAGTTAAAATAGTGTGAGTGTTTAGTCTGGCGCAGGGCTTCAGGGGAGATTGGCAGCTGGGTCAAACAAAGTCCTTCCATTGGCTCCCTTCCCAGGCAGCTTCTGCTAGTATTTAGGTACTAGTGCAGTGTAGGGCCCTTTTCTCAGGCAAAACCTAACATCTGACCGCACCCTCTTTGCTATTTCAAAAAAAAAAAAAAAAAAAAAAAAAGCTTCTTTTTCTTTTTTCCTACTTTCGTTAAGATAAATTCTCCAGTAGACAACTTCTCTTACTAATTGTGTATTAGCATCGTATTTTATCTTGAGAGCTGACGCACTGGCTCTCAACATGGTGTGGAAGGCAGCCTGTTACAGTGCTGGACTCATAAAAGGGCCTTTATGGTTTGTGAAAGAATATCTGTGTGCTTAGGCAGGAAACTTTTTGATCTGCAGCAAAGCCAGAGGACATCTAGGTAAGGCTATGTATCCAATCTACTTTTGGGGGGGAAAGTTGGGCAGTGTGGAGGGTTAATCGCAATCGTGGTGAGTTTGGAAGATGCATATTCACTTTGGTGGAAGTTTAAAGTGTACCGATAATTGTTTGCTTGTTTTTTGTTTGTTTGTTTAAATCTAAAAGGAATACTGTAGTCTGCATTTTTACGATCTTGTGTTCTGCTATTGAACCGATTACAGTGAGCATAGAGTTTTATTATAGAGCGAAATCTTTGTAAACTGTCACAGAAAGAAAGTGTTATTTAGGAGGGAAATTGACAAGTTTTAAAGAGTAATTGTACAATCATTTGAGGACAGAGGAACACTGCATTAGACTAACAAGGGTTTAATTACCAAAAAAAGTTTAATGTAGCTTTGGAAGGAATATTAAGTAAGTTGTCTTTGTCTCTTACTTTTTAATTTTAGTCGTTGATTTAGCCTGTTGGGTCACATTTTTTGTCAGTGCTGAAGGCTGCCATGAATCCGTAATGAGGCCCCTTTGCACATGATTTTGGCACTTGGCCAAAATCAACTTCCCAGCGGCAAGCTTTCTCTAAAGGACCTGAAGCAATTTTTTTTTTTTTATTAGAAATCATGTCTGAAAGCTGCCACAACCAGTTGTGTAGGCATGTCAAAATGACTTTATACAGTAAATATTAAACAAGCATTATTTATTTATTTATTTATTTTTTGCATATTATTGCTGTTATTACGAACTCCTTGCTTGATGCCACTTAAAATATCTTTCAACAAGGACAATCTATAGAAGAAGATTTACTGGTTTTTGTTTTTCTCAGCAGACCAGAATAGGGGTGATCATCTCATTGAGAAGTATACAGTGCGAAAAGGTTTTTCAAAACACTTCAGGATAAATAACAGATGAATTCTTAAAACTATTAATCTCTGTAAGTAATACTCAGTGAACAGTAAGTAACAAAGTTTTCTAGAAGTTTCCTTGTGCGCACAATTAAACTTAACATGCTTAAAATGGGATTTTTGTCTGTGTTAAAATGTCGTGATATCTGGGAGTTTGAAAAACAGTCAAGATTTATTATATCATTTAAAAACTTATTGACACCTTGATATTCTTTCTCAGAAATGTTTTACTAGAAATGCTTGGTATATAAACATAGCTGAATAACTTGAAATTAGTGTATTCCATTGTTGTTTTGCAATAAAAAAGGTAATTTCTTTTATGAAAGAAATTTTGAAGCTCAAAGGCACACAAATTTTAAGAACTGTTATTAATTTTGGTATTAGTGTAACTGAATTTTGTCTTGTGAACCAACATGCTTATTGAAGACATATCATTTCGAGTTTAATTCATAAATTGCAAAGAATACCATCGTAATCTTATATTAACAACCTCAGATTTTTGTATAGGCATTTTTCAGCAGTGTCTTTAGGCTTTAAAAATAGGTATAATGCAAAGGAATCCAAAGGAGAAATATAGAAAGAATCTCAATTACTTTGTTTTCTCTTTAAGAAAGTCTGCTCTCACTATGTTTAATCCTATGATGCCTTATATGTTAGTCTATGGTAACCTACATGACTTTATTTTTTACTTAAAGACAATCATATTTCTCTTTAAAATTTTGAGAATAAGGTATATTCTTTATTATGATAAACCTGAATTAAAGCTGCTGCAATGAAAATGTTTATTATATATTTGTCACTATGTTTATATTCCCTTTACACTGTGTTTAATGTTGCTAATTTGGGTCATAGAAAAGTAAAAAATAACTTTAAGTAAATTTTTCCATTAGAAAATGAGTCTTGACTCCCTTCGGATCTATCGATGTGTACATATTTGTGTTACTGTAAACTGAATTATCATACAGTATATACCTTGCTGTTAGTTAAACTGAGTCATGGAGTGTTTGAAACGATCATTTGAGTCAACACTAAGTGAATAGAAATTATAAATTGCTATTTATGAAAATTTACCTGGATAAGTTTTCTTTGTATTTGAGTTCACAGGTGAATTCTTATTTAGTGAAATCTTTGTTATTTAATCAAAAGAGTTCACATAGGTAGAGATTTCGAAAATTGGATAAAAAGAGAACATTTGATTATTGCTATCATCGAACAGGTGCAGGAAAAATAAGATAGCTTGTCCTGTTCAGCACAATTCTCGCTTAAAATTTATTTTTGAATTCTATCTTCATTTTAATTTTGGTTCTCATATACATGTTCTCTTTCTATTTTTTTATTAATTTGGATCAATTATTTTACTTAGCATTTGAAATTGGCAGCATATTTCTCTAAAGTTTGCTGAGGAATGTTTCAATTGAAAATTGTAGAATTTTGTTGTTGTTGTTAATTAGATGCCAGAGCAAAGGAAGTGTTCCCCAAATACAGAACATTAGCGTACACAGATATGTTAGTTTGTGAGTTCAGAAGAAACTTAATTACAGAAACAGTTATGGACAAGTAATGTTGAATTCAGGTAAAAACAAATAAGTACTGAAAACAATTTAAATTTTGTTCTTTATAGAAATAGCTGGGAAATTTCCTTTTTTTTTTTTTGGCTATGTCTGTAAATTATAACTGAGTGTTTCGATAGAGTAGGCTTTTTGGCAGAATTATTGGCTAATTTTCCTTGGAACCAGAAATGTTAAAGCACTGATTATATTTTCTTATTGACTTAACATTTACAAACAATATTCAGAATAGTAACTACTTCTAATAAGAAAAATGTCTAAACTTTGTTGATTTTTTGTATTTGTGAAGAATAGTTTAGATAATTCATTTTATCTTATTTTCATACTATTTGAAAATAGTTAAACATATATTATTTTACTATGTAGAAATTTCAGTCTTTGGAAAAAGTGAAATTTATTTGTAATTGTCAATTTAAAATCTGGGCCTGTACCATTTTAATGTGACAGGTTTGTTAGTTGTTTTAATTATGTAATAAACACATCAAATGCTTTCATTTCCTCAATTAAAAGAGATATTAAATAATTATCAACTTTTATTCTGTATTGAGAAGAAATCTTGAACACTAATATATATATATATATTATCTACAGTTTTTCCTAATACAAGAAATGTTGACATAGGGCATTTTAGGTGAGCATTTCATCGTTTAAATGAAGTGCTTTGTTCTAAATGGTCTACATTCCAGCAATGAGAAAAATGCATTGTTACATTAGATTGAACATAATTATAGAATTTTGGCACAACTTCAGTGACTTCGACCATAAAAGATTAGCATAGGCAGGATGATCTTGAATTTGCAGTAACAAAACTAGATAAGAGAAGCACGTGAAGACCTTTGTTGGTTTAGAAAAAGTATGTGTTAAAATAATAGGTGATACTTTTTGTGAAACCTGATGATAATGATATCATGTCATTCCAGTAATATAATAAATTTGTAAACATCAAAAATTTATTTTAATTTATAGTGCATTTGTAAGATTTTTTCCACAGACTTATTAGCGCTATTTTACTTTTTTATTAGTTAAAAAAACTGTCATATTTCCAAGCAGTCAACATCTAACTAACTATAGGTTCAATAAGCATTTTTTAAAATGTTGTGTTTTGATCTAAATACAACTAATATTAAAGAAAAAGAATGAAGTTCACTAACTTTAATTCTTTTTAAAATAAAAGAAGGGATGATTTGCACTTGTTGCAATTTCTTTACTTTATATTGGCTTAATTTTTAAATTATCATAAAGTAAATATTGCTATTTGATATCATTTTTAAACATGGTAGGGTTCATTTTACAAGTAATCTGATCTGTTATATATTTAAACAATGATGATTTATGTCTGGCTGTATATTCATTTCTCAAAGTCAAACAAATAGCTCAGCAAAGGGTCCTCTTCTTGGGTACTCAAAATTTTTCACTAAAAAACTTTCAGAATTTTTGGAATTTCATCCCATTTATGTGTTCAGGTGTGTTTGTCAACTTGTGTTTCTGTCTATACATCCAACTGTCTTGTAACCATTAAATTGGAAAGTCTGGTAGCAGGTTCTAAGTCTATTGTTATTTAATGTTTCTCTGGATAAACAAAATTTTTTAGTTTCTTGCTGAGAGTTAATCAATATATGAATCGATATAAGAGATAACACTAAATCTGATCATTCGGATAACTTAAATCGCTGAATTAGTGGTCACTTACATGTTTGTAGAGTGATTTTAAGTCTTTGATTATTACTGGTTACTAATGGTTATAATTTCTGAAAAATCTGGAGTGCTATTATTTTATTTAGAAATAATAATTCCTAAAAGTACAATTGTCTCCACCGTGCAACTCCTGAAACCTCACACAGTGTCTCTCTTCATGTGAACCACAAGAACCAAACAGACTGCTCTTACCTCTCCTTGCCCCCACTACAGAGAGGTTGCCAATTGTAGAGGGGAATATCTGAAAAGACATTTAAAATCATTTCTCTCCTGTGACTACCAACTACTTCACTTTCTGTGGGATTCTGAAAGGACTGATCATCTTATTGGAATGTTTATATAAAAGTGAGGCATATATGGACTTCAGAAAACAAGACTGAGATTAATGACGTCATATATTGTTACAGCAGCTAATTAGAAGTTGCTATTCATACATACACAATGAACTGGAAAGATAGGCAGTGGGCTTTGAGAGCAGTTTTCATTTTCCCTTCACTTAGGAGCTCCTGAGAAGGTGGAGGCACAAGGATGGTGCTCAGTCTCTTGGGTTTATGCTCTTTCAGGCCCACACGTTCATTTCTCTTACTTAAATCCCACTCTTCCTTCAGAAGCCCACCTCTCTAAAAACAGATAACTTTTTCAGAGAAAGATTGCAATAAAACACATTCATTCTTGTTCCCTGGAGAGTCTGCAATGACGTCTCTTTGGCACAAGCAGTGTTCTTCTATCTGTAGTGATTTTTTCTTTTTAAGTTACAGTGTGGGTACATTGGTTCATTCAGTTGGACATAGCATTGTAATAATCAAGCTAACTCAATTTTAGCAAGCACAGTTTTGCATTTAAGCCTGGGCACATTCCTGAAAAGAATCAACATTATGTATGAAAGGTCTAGTTGCTGAAAATTATGGAACATAGATATTTTGGGAGGGAATGTGAAAAATTTCATGGAAAACGGAATTAAAGTAAATTTGTTTTGGTGCAAAAAAATTTTAAAATTCATATCTAGTTGTTTTCATAATTCACATTTTCCATGAACTTTCTGAAGACCCCCTTATACTGGTGAGTTAAACTATATTTTGTGTTTGATACATATATTAATATATATTAATATTTAATATATAATGTGTCCAAAATATTTACATGACAGAACAGTTGTCCTGAAATTTGTGGAATTGGCTTTATTCCAATTCTAATTGAGTATCATTCCCCATTTGGTTTTTGAAAACATTACACTTTAACTTTTCCATAACTTTCCTCATGAAGTATAGTAGTACAGATGTGAATTTTCTACTAGTGTAGCTACATGTATACTGGCGTTACATATTCTATAGTTTTGTAGCCTGATCAGATGTTGTTTTCTCTCCAGTCTTGGAGCTCGTCTCTATGAAAAAATAATAAATATATTATTTTTATTTTATTTTTTTGCCAACAACCAATTTTAGATACATTCAGATATCTCAGGATTCAAAAAAGTTTATGCACAGACAATTCCTACTGGAATATTATTTAGCTATTTCTGAAACATCTTCAGTTGTCAAGAAATGAATCAACAAGGAAAAGTAATATACAGTTCAGGAAGATAACATTTTTCTACTGACATATTTTAGTGGCAACACATTTAATTTAGTAAATACTATTTGTTACTAGAAGGCTATAATCAACTTGGTGATCAGTAGTTAAAAATGTCTGGTTCAAGACCAAAGACTGATTTTATTGAATGAATAGGTCTTAGATAAAATATAAGCTGTTAAGCCACTTCATATCTG